GCGCAAGGCAGCCCGGTGCACTAAGCTCCCGCTATGCGCGAGGTCCAGGGAAGGGCCTGACCACAAAGGTCTAATTTACACAGACTTCCCTATATTTCTGCAAGAAGCTGTTTCCATATCGCGAACCTGTGACCTCCTGGCTATACGGCAGTAACTTTAACAGTTACGCTAAGGTTCTCCTTCCAGGAAAAAGATGCGAACTAAAAATTAAATATAGTGTAGTACTCACATTATGTCCAATACAATCGCCCTTTAATCTGTTGATTGTTGATGAAGCTTTAAGAATTAAAGGCTCATTAATCATCCATTCAAAAGCCTCTTTGGCTATAGATTCCTCCATAAAACTCAAGGAAATTGTTGCAACCATCATACATGTAGTAGTTACAGTTGCATTCTTCATATAGTCCTCACAATTTGGAATATAGCCAGCATTTAACCATTCTGCTTCCTTGAAAAACGCTCTAGCCAACTTTTTCATCTAAAAGGAGAATAAAAAAAATATACAACTATATAATGTTGAATATATAATTAAGTGAATAATTAAAAGTGTATTCTCTCTAACAGCTTAAGCTTTTAGATCATTACAAAGCTCCTATGTCCGTATCAAGAATAATTTTCACGTGTTTGGCACATGAAAAAGAATCAAGATCGCACGTAAGAGGGCGCGTTGAAGACATAATAAGTAAAATATGTGTTTTCTCTAAGTATAGTTTAAGATTTTAGATGAGAGAGTTACACAATTCTTCATAAGTGTATATACCGTGTCTTCTTTTAGATTTTGGATGTTTCTTTCCTCTCTATTCTTTTCATTTCTTCTCTACAACTTAGTTAATTAAACTAATTAATGAAGCTATGGTAAGGTATGATTCAAAAGAAATGAAGCTAAGGGAGCTTACCTCATATTTTGCATAGCAGAGACGGTCCAATTTATCTTCTCTGATAAATTTTTCTTCTATTTGAGTATAAAGATCTACAAGGGCTTGATAAGTAGGTCTCAGACTGCGTAATACTGAACCGATGGCACTAATGTCACATCTGCACGTTAAGGGTTTGAACCAAAGTCACAAGCATCATAAGTGTAACACGTACTTAGCTGATGTATAAATTTTTCTTACTCATCAATGAGAGAATTAAAAGAACAATTATGTTTAGACGGTAAAATCTTACCCGCATCTATCGATTGCATCTGTAAAAGGCACAAGTTCATCATAAGTTGCATAAGCATCATAAGTGTCATCAATAACAGTGTATATGGTTAGTACTTTTGTCATCATTTCTCTTGCACGACTATATTGAGGCTCAAAGTAGATTCCCACTGTATAAAAGTGACACTCCACCAATCTATCTCTTGCATATGGAAATTGCTCTGCAAAATTCAGATCTTTCCACCACCTATAATACAAAATTATTGGTTAATTAGTTACATTTCTATTGCATTACTCGAACGCATAACTCGAAGTATATGCATACTAGCCAGAGGTGATATAGTGAATCTATTTTTTAGCAACCCGCCCAAATTAAACGACTTGGTCATGACTCATTTGTTGACTTGATTTAATGGGTTGAACTCAAAATGACTAATTGTATTCACTAGCCAAATATATATATATATA